AAAAAAAAAAAAAAAACAAAACAAAAATTAATAGAAATAAAATCCACATCTTAAGTTTAAAAGCAAATGGGCAAAAGCAAATAGTAAAAGTAAAGTGCTGCAGCTAATTCAAAAAGCTTTTAAGAACTGACAACGACTGCGGCTCGCATCACGTTTTAGTCCGAGCGATGTCTATAAAAATAGCGTAATGATATAATACAAAACGACATACAGAACCGCATGAAAAACAATTTATTTCGGCAAGTTTTTCTCTATTTTTTTTTTTTTTTTGTGCTTTGCTCACATTTATTTTTGCAATGCTGCAAGTCGATTATTTATAGAGAGCGTGTTTCGAAAACAACAAAACACTTCATGTGTTTTGCCATCGATGGTGCCAATCGAGCAGAGTGATAAAAAATAGAGAAAGCCACAAGTGTCGCGGCGAAACGTGAACTGAAAATGCATTAACCGTCCGTCGTACATGAAACAGATGTCATAAATTTTGCGAAACTCTAAAGTTAAATAGCGCGTAAAACTATGAAAAATGCAAAACTCTAATGAAAGCCATAAAACAGTGAGAATAAAGATGAAAAATGGCATAAAAACTGAAAATTAAATGGAATGAACAAAGGCGAACTCCAAGCCAGCGTCTGGATGCAATCGAAGTTGAACTACACAGAATTTCTTTTAAGAGATTTATGCTGCCATGAATCATATGTATATATGTTTTTTCTTTTCCTTTTTAATATTATATAAAATAAAGTCTGTGCACAGAAAAAAAAAAAATTGTTTATTAAATGCGACGCCAAAAGTTCGCACATAAAATTTTCCTTTGCGCTAAACGTGTGAAGAATTTGCGACTTCCTGGCCTCACTCTGCCTACTCTCTGCTGCTCCCTCACCTTTCTCCCACTCCATCCACTCGCTACCCAATCCCAGTTCTCCCATCAGCGCCTCCCTCACATTCTCTGGGCAGAGCCTGCGCCCAGTTTATGCGCTTAGAATACGTTTATATGTTCTTTGTTTAATTTTTTCAGCATTTTCTTTTTTATTTACTTCTCGTTTTTCTTTTTTGTGTGTGTTGCTATAAAAATGTTTAATGAAAAGTTTGGGTCATAAAGCATAAAGCATGTGCAGCTCGAAGCTGCAGGAGGCGGGGCACTTCGAGCGCGACAAGAGCTCTGTCTGACTCATGAGACTGGCGAATAAGCCAAGTTTGAGAAATTCTTGCTGCTGCCGCCGTTGATCGTCATTTGGTTTCACATGCAGCCAAGCATTGCGTCGCATTGTGGGTGGCTTTGGCCAGAGGCAGCAGAAGAAAGAAGACAGAAGACAGCGGACAGAGGACGTAGGGGGGCAGACATTGTCAGAACAAAGCTGGGAAAAACTTCGCACGGCGCGTTGCAGCAGGAAAACATTCCGCAAATGCATTTCCCATGCACATTTTCTTGCCAGCACGCTCAAAACAAAAGCGCGCCGCGGAAATGCATATTTAAGCCAAAGAAGCGGCAAATGGCCGCGCCAACAACAACAAAATTAACTACGAGCTCAGCTCGTAATTTCAATTTAATTAAATCAACAGCAGAAATAGAAAAAAACGAGAGAGAGAGAGAGAGAGAGAGAGAGACAGAACGAACGACTTCTTAGTTTATAGCCGCCACCTTCACTTTCTCACACACACGCACACACCTGACGTATGCTGTGTGTGTGAGTGTTTTTTATTGTTGGCTTGCGTGTCACATTTCATTTCAATTGCGCCTCCTCAGCGCCCTCCCTCTGCCTCCCCCTCCGCTCTGTGTCTCGCTTACCTCATTCTTCAATATTTTTAATAAGTTTGTTCCACATTGCTCAGCCACAGCTGCTCTTACTCTTGCCTACACGCTGTCTTCCTCTGTCTCTCTCTCTCTCTTTGGCTCTCTTTCTTCACTTGCGCGCTCTTCTATTTTGGCCACATTAACGCTTAACAACTTTTTGTTTTGTTTTATTATAATTATTGGTGTGATTTTTTCTTTCCTCTTTTGTTAACTCTTCGCCGGGCACTTTTCGTTTTATTTTACATGTTCGCCCCCCGCGGCCATGCCCACCGGGTAATTATTATTTATTTTCAAGGGTCAGTGATTTTCTCGTTTGTTTTCTTTCGCCACATTTTTCTGTCTTTGGCGTCTATTCAATTGAATTTTGGCGTGTGAATTTCGTGTAGGAAATACGTTTTTCTTATGGCCTTTCAGCGTGATTTTTTTAAATTTTGATTATGGTTTAAAAGTTTGTAAGAAGTATGTCTCAAAAGTTAGGAACTTATAAACAGAGAAAAGTTTAATATATGTCATTTGATATGTGTTGGTGGTTAAGTAGTAGAAACACAGCTAAACCAATTTTTGCTGTGTTAGAATTTGCTCGCAGCATACACATAATAGTTGAACATATTAGAGAACTACCATTGCAGAACTATCATAAAGACTTCCAAGCACATGAGTTTTCTTTATGGTCTAATGCCTGGTTTTTTAAATGTTTTACTTTAAAGCTAGGTCTTAGTTAGTCTGTGTATTAGGCTAGTGTAAGATAAAAAATATATATATTTATAAAATATGCTGTATACCAATATTATATATATTATAATTAATTTATTTTAATTATTTTGCATTTAAATTATACGACTACGATTTGAATACATTTGTGTTGATTCGTCATATCAGTCAGCTTTGTGTCACTCCACATTGAAATGCCTTTACTTCCGCCTGACTGAACCCGAGCTTGCTCTTCATAGCAATCAGCTTTTTGTCATGCCACACTGCAATGCATTTACTTCTGCCTTACTCATGAGTTTTCAGCAATTCTGCTAATGATCTCTATTAGTGCTCGAATGCACTTAAATTGCCAAATTCTGTGCCGATTTCATAAGCATTTAATGGCAACATTTGTCGCTTGTTGCCCTATGACATATTCATTGCTCTATTGTGCCACGCCCATCCCGCCGTTGCATTAATTATGCATTTACATGTTGCATTTGCGAATAGAAATTCAATATTATGCACTCGGAGCATTTTATGAATGTGTGTGTGTGTGTGTGTGTGTATGTGTGGATCGCTAATGAACAAAATGCAGTTAGTGCCGTTTGTTGCCTTTGTTTTGTTGGCCTGCAGCTGCTGCCGCTGTTTTAATTATGTTGCCATGGCAGGGGTGGGTAAGGCGGGACAGAGACAGAGAGCGGGGGGAGGTCTGTAGGTGGAGCAACAAAGTTACAAATATTCAACGGTTGTTTTAGGCTAACATAAATGAGGCGCCTTTGTCTGAGGCTCTAAAAATTTATGCAGCTATGAAAACGTAACGAGGCGCATTCAAAATGTTTGAAATATCCATGGAAAAGTCCATAAAAAGCTGGCAATACAGTAAATGAGGAATATACTAGAGATTTTCATTTAATGCACATATGTAGAGGAGGCTATATAGATCATATATAAAAGAGATATAAAAATATTACACTCAGTCTATCACAATTTGTAACTTTTAAAGTGCCTGACGTCTATTGCTAGATTTTTTACTTTTCTTTTTCTTTTTTCCTCCTTTTTTCTAGTCTGGCTTATTAATAAATTAATTATGAACTCGCGCTCATCATACTACTTTTTTTCATTTATTATTATTAATTTACCGTTCGCTGCTGCTGCTGCTGGTGCATTTAGTGTGGTAAAAGGAGAGAATCAGTGTTGTCTAGCGCTTTCGCATTCATTTCTGCACCTCTTTTTGCTCTTCTGCTCAGCCGCTGTTCATTAGCATTTGTAGGACATCAGCTTATGATGGGTTTCTCTCCTGTCCACTATTCACTATTCACTATTCTCTTGCCTCTTCCCCTTCTCTTCCCTCTCTTTATGTCAGGCCAGAAAAATGCATATTCTTTTGCATGCTCTTCTTCTTATTATTTCTTTTTTTTGCCTGCTCTTCGTTTCTATTTGTGCTTCATTCTCTTGGCTCTAACAACATTTTTTTGCTGTTGCTGCTCTTGTTACTTGTTCTTGATGAGCTTGTTGTTCGCTTCGCATTTTTTTCTTCGTGCTGTAAGCCAAATAGTCAATGACTATGGGGCGTGGCTTACCATCAGACTTTAAGAGCCACAAAAAACAGAAGTAAATAGTATGCGTGAGTGCGTTGTAAGCTAGATTTGTAGTCTTACTGAACGACAAATGCATTGATAGACTCACACTTAATCACATTTGCAAGCTATTACGTGCCAGGCACTCTTCAGACCGACTGGATTTACTTTTTAAGGTCAAAGTATTTAAGGTCATGAATGCATAAATCTACAAATATTCTCTCAATATTAATTACAAATATTCTCTCCAGAAATTCCTACGCACCTGTCTAAATGCAGGTGAAGTAGTCTTCAAATTCTTGAATACCAAGTTCCTCTTCTCATTCACTATACAATATATAATATATGCTTATAATGCAGCCCATAGCTGTAGCCACAACTAATATTATTTATATACATTTATTGAATATTTGAGTAGTAAATAAATCTTCAATATTTGAGGCTTGGTGGGAAAACATATTTAGTTGTATTTATCTAAATACAATATAGGCTAATAATGAGAACCCATAATGAGCCTGCCTGCCCGCCCGCCCCCCTCGCAACCTATTTCAAATAATTTCAATTTCAAGCTGAAACGATAATTTGTAAAATGCGTAATTAAATTTGATTGCTCGATAGTTTTCAAAGACCACAAATTCAATTGCAGGATAGACATACATATGTGCATATATGCATATATGTATATATATTTCTGTGCATTGGGGTTGGTATTTCTATGGCCCTCTGCATAATTATGCTAATGATATTTCACTTTTTAATGGGTTTCGACTGTCAGATAGAATGGTAATCCACCTGCTCCTGCCCCCAGCCCATGGCTATGGCCATGCCCACGCTCTGGCCATGCCTATTATTTGGTCATTTTTAATTCTATATATAATTCCCATTATTGTCTGTAATTATATGATATAGCTAGGAGACGGTGGGTGGGTGGCACTTACCTATTTGGGCGCTGACATGAGCAACAACTGTCAGGCAGAGCAGTGGCCAGAGCCATGTGCCAAATGTTGTTGTTGTTGTTGCTGTTGTAGGTCGCCTTGTAAATCCGATTAGCTTTGGGTTTGGGGGCGAGGGCGCTCTGGCTGGGCTGTTGCTGTTGCTGTTGCTGCCGCTGTGTGTTAAGCGCCTCAGCAACATGTTGCCAGTGTTGTAAATGTTGCCAGCTCGTCGTACGTAATGTTGCCAAGGTGGTTGTTGTTGCTCGGTTTCTATTTATTGGTTTTTGTCTTTGGTCTCTTTGCCTTTGCCTTTGCCTTTGACTCACTCACGCACATTCAAGGAGAAGCAGGACTAGCAGGAGCAGGGGTGAGTGTATTGGTTGGGGTCCTTTCGGTTCGCTTGTTCGTTTGTCAGTTGTGTGTTCTTGTGTTCTCGTTGTCAGATTTTAGTTCTGTTGCTGCTGCTGTTGCTGCGTCGCTTTGGCATTTAGTTGATTTTGATGGTTTGCTTGATATATTCTTATTTCTTTTGGCGTTTCTTTTGAATCTCCCTTGTTTACAATTACATTTCCTCTACACTGATTTACACTTATTTCTCACAATTCTGCCGATAAGTTACAATCATTGAACATTATGCAAAGCGGCTGCAAAGAGAATTGGAAAAACATGGAAAGAAGAAGAGAACAAAGTAGATTAGCATGGGAATGCGAGGGCGTAGAGCAAGATAGAATTTGGTATATTTATTTGTACTACATTTTATTTTTTAATTTTACATTTATATATTTTAAAACAATATTATTATTAATATTTATTATATTTTTAATGTTTATTTGTTTTCATTTTCTATTTTTAATAATTATTATTATTGTAATTTCTATTATAATTTATTTTTAAATATTTTTCCTGCACTTTATTATGACTTTTAAATATTATTAAATTATTTTAATTAAATTTACTTTAATTTTTTATGTTTTTTCTGCATCTATATTTATACATTTTTTAAATATTAATTAAAAAAAAAAAACACTTGGAATGTTTTGTTGTTTTTTTTTTTTTTAATTTATTTTTGCTTATATTTATATTTTATTTTATTAATATTTAATTAATTTTCTTGGAATATTTTAAATTGTTTTAATTTATTTTGTCTTTTGTGTTTATTTCTACTTATTTTTTTTTTTAATTTTAATAATTATTATAAAGAAATTAATTATAGTGCTTTATCAAATGTATTTCATTATGAAAAGTACATTTCGATGCCTTTCGCAATTAATCAATGAAATCAATTTATTTTGTGTATAAATTCCATATGCTTTACTCCGAAATGTCGTCATATGTAGCTACAGCTTCCCTTGGCAACTTCCTTTCAATGAATTTGTATTTGATTCGATACGGCTTCGCTTACAATTGCCATTGATACGTGACTTGAGTGTGCCCACCTGGCGATTATCTTTTGTTTTCGAGCCTGTGATTATAACTCATGCAAATTTGCTCTTTCAAGTTTTCTCAAGTTTATTTGCTGTGAAAATCGAATTTCACACGTGCTTCAATTGCAATTGATACGCATTCAATTTGCTTTGAAATTATTTCAGATTTCCATGAATTATTTATTGAGTTTTTGCTTTTGTCTGAGCTCAGTTGGATTTGATTACACAAATGCCATGATTTAAATATGTCAAATGAAATTAATGCCGTGCAATCGAAGACACGAAAACGAAAACTAAATTAAATACATTTCAAGCCAGACGCTGCGAAAGTTAAGCATAATGAAGAAAAGTTTTCGGGAATTTCAAGATTAAACTTCTAATTTTTGTTGCTGTGGGTCAAAGGCAAACAGAAACAAAATTGGTTTTATTGAATAGGAAAGGCGATTGGCGCCGCCATCGGCTGAAGGGCAGAGTGGCAGAGGAGGCCTGGTCAATTGCTATTTCCTAAAAGTATGCTTGGAAATATTTTTGCGATTTCTTTCTGCTGCTGCTGTTTGTTTGTCCAGCAGCAACTGGACTATGGGGGCGATTTGTATATATTTTAGAGGCAGCCGCTTATTGATTTCGTCGAAGGCCGTACACACGCGGCGTATGCGCAATATTTGCCTTTTGGCACTTGCCAAACGAAAACGAACGAACCAAGCAAAATAAATAAATAGCGTGGAATGCGCACAGAGCCACAACACAGCAGCAACAGCAACTACAACAGCAACAACACCAAGAATAACAACAAACAAATAATATTAACCAAAAACTTAGCCGAAATGTTGTTGATGAAAACGTGACTGGACACATTGAGTGGCCCGAATACAAATACAAATACCAAATGCAATCAGAAATACAAATATATATATACCCGTTGATACACACACATACATACAGCGCTTGGTCAGTTTCTAGCACACAGTGACCACCAAAAGTCAACTGCCAGCGCAGCTATAGACCAGATATATATGCACATACATACATACATACATACATACATATATATGTATCTAGTGAATATACATTTGATTTCTCATTTCATTAGTTTGCTCAAGTTTTTGTTGCCTTTTGACGTTTCGCCGAAAAGTTTCTTTCACATCTTTTGCGTCATTTGTAATTTTAAAGCAGATAGCTTTCAAGGTGTTTGACTGATTAAGCATGAAATATATTTATATTTTCTGCAGATTTAAATTGTCATGGGCATGAGAAGAGGCTTTGAGGAAGAAAATAGTTAATGAAGTTAATATAAAATATAAAAAAATATATAAACAAAAATATGAATAATCTTTTCATAATATATTTTGAACAAAAATATTTAAATATAGATATAAATATCTAATCTTATCAGAATATATTTTTATGAAATATTTTTCATATAAAAAAAAAAAAAAATTAAATTAAATAAATAAAAATATAGATATAGATATAGTTTCATAAAAACTTTAAAGAATTAATATTCAATCTGAATACGAATTATTGAAATTTTATTCTATTTCAATTATTTTTATAAAATTTTTATAAAATTGTATCATATTGTTCATTCATCTAGATTCTTTCACTAAACTCTAAATTCTTCATGTGTTTCCTCTACTTCCTCTATTTTTAATGTCCATTCATCAATCTTAATATCGTCTTGAATTGCTTCTTTACCTGCTTGTTAAATTGCCTTGCTTAGCACAGAATGTGATCATAATTTTTCTTACTCTTTGCTATTGCAATTTGTCGGATAGCTTAAAGTAATTTGCTTTAAATGGCCGTCAAGTCAGCTGCCAGCCAACTAACTAGCTGTCTGTTCACGCTGACCCGGCCCACACTCTAGCTCCACCCATACTCTCTCTCAATCTGTCTCTCTCTCTCTCTCACTCCCTCTCTCTCTCTCTTTGTCTGTCGGTCTCTATCGCTTTCCCTTTAGTAGCTGGCTGTGTGTCTCGTCCTGAGCGTCCTTGATTGACAGCCGCTTTCTGTGTTGGCTGTCATTAATCAGCTTAAACAGCTGGCGCGTGCAAAATTAAAATATTTGCTGCGAAGTAACTGAAGCAGCCAAATGAAGTGGCATCAAATTGCACGAAGGAGCAGAAAAAAATACAGCCAAGAGATGGAATAGCAAATGGAAAGATGCTGGAAATTATTTGTAGCTCTCTTAAGAGAAACATACTGGTTGAGTCTGTAATTGGCTATTTCCTTCGGCAATTCTTTGATATTTGTATTTTTATTTTCCTTTTATGGGTATTTTTAATGATGATACGAAAATACTTCAAAAAGCCATTGAGAAGCGCGGCTATTATTTTTTATATCGCTTTAATAATAATTGTATCATTTAATGTTTTTGGTGTTTTAATTTTTAAAATTTGATATAATATGATTTTTGGTATTTTTTTCTTTTTAGGTATTATAGTTCTTATATCATTTATTTTGAGTTTTGTGTATTTGTGCTGGCACTTATTGCTATTTAAATTTATTAAATTGGAAGAATATTATAATATTATACCTTTCCTGTTAATTTTGTATGTTTATAATTTTAAGAAAATATAGAATTTGTTAGATTTTATTCAAAGATAAATTTTTTTTTTTATTTTTTTTTTTTTATATAAATTATATATATTATATATATAAATTATTGTGTAATTTTTGTTTATCCATTACTTTGAAATAATTCTATAGTCTATTATATTATTTTCTTTGTATTTTTGGTATTTTATTGTTGCTCGATATTCCTTCATATATTTGTTGCTTCAGTTTGTAATTTATCTGCGGTCGCATAACATTGGCTTGTTAATCTTGTTTTGCCACGTTGCTCTGATCCTTTTCTGTGTGTTTGCATCTATTTCATGGGATGTGCCACATAATTTCCCGTTATGTGTTGTGCGTCACACACACACACACACCCATACACATACGCGAGCACATACATGTACATGTCTGTTGCTTCATTTAATTTCTTATTTCTTTTGCGACATTTCTCATTTCGGTTTTTGCCTTTTCTCTCTACCTTTTCAGCGTTCTTCTGGCCTCATGGCAGCCTCCCGCTTTGGCCTTGTGGTCATTCAACTGTGAGAGAACCAAGAGCTGAAAGAGAAAAATACATAAAAAATTATTAGATTTTTCTTATTTCTGTTTTGTTTTCTTTTCTTTTCTATTTTCTAGCGACTTTTTGCTTATATACAACGGTTCTCAGAGAGGAAGAGCGACAGAGATGGGCTAAATTGCTTTTGTATGCATATGCCGGATGGTTGGATGGATGGTTGACTGGACGGCCATTCCCCAACACACACACACACACCCATAAACACTCGCACTCAGGCATACACACGCACACACCTATACACAATCGTGGGAAATTAGGCAGAAACATATTTAAGGCGATTTTCTTGATGAGATATCGTTTAATGGTTTGCTGTTTATCTTTGCACGTTCTCTTCGGCCTCTAATGAACAGTCAGCAAGTCACAGAAACTTTTTGCCATCCATCCATCCACCCACACACACACACACAGAAACATCTGGTGCTCAGCAGGGCGCTGCATATCAGAATGTCTGCATATTAAGTATACGATATTGCGTATACGCACGAGAACGCTGTTAAATGGCTATTGATAGTCGACAACTGAGGCACTCGCAATGGGACGCATATAAATATTTGTAAAAAAATAAGAATAATGTAAAGAGAAGAGCAAAGAAAGAGCACAAAGATAGTTCACTTTGTGTATTTTTATTAGACATTAGGGAACAATAAGCGTGAGAGAAGCGGAGAGGAGATCAGACCTTGATAGAGTCGAGCAAAGGAAAAAAAAAAATGATGCAATGCATAAAAACGAATGAGAAAGCGCATGAAACGGATATGAAATCGCAGCAGGTAGTGGGAGCTTTCTCACAGCTAAACGCTGCTACCTGTGGATTGCACGGATTGGGTCTAAGTGCGATAAACTGGCGATAAAGACTCGGCAATTGAAATATTTTCCGTTGGCAGCCAGCTGGCTAGCTATGCTATGCTATGCCATTAGGGCCTCCATTGTGTCACCGAGTGTCACTTGGAGCTAGTTCAGCTCAGTTCGCTTTCACCTGTAGCCTATCATCATTAACGGCCAACGGGCTGAGAAATGGCCAATTAAGTGTTATGAAGTGCCATGGAAATATGACTTTCATGCCTAAAAACTTTGCGTTTTACAAATGCCAAAATGGCCAACTCTTAGCATTCGCTTTAATTAAAGAGGAGCCGGGCGGCACATAAATCATGCGCGGGCATAACTATAAATATGCCTGAGTTATGTTTATGGCTAAGCCAAGCGTCGAACGCGTTGGCGACACGTGAATCGCGCATTAAAAGTATTTATACACAAATACACACACGCATATATTTGAGTATATTTTGTTTTTTTTTTTTTTTTTTTTGTGAATTTTTTTTGCTCTGTGCTGTTGGCACTTCCATAATTTGCACAATATTTTAAGCAAATGGTAGATGCATGCTGGCCAGGCTCTAGAATCTCCAACTGGCTGACCATATTGTTTATGGCCGTGGCTAAGCCAAAAGCTTGTGCCATTTGCCTTTGGCTTTCGCTGACTGCCGTTTTGCTTCTTCTTCTCTTCTCTTTTTTTTTTTGCCACGACGCAAAGACAAACCCATAAAAATGTCACAATTCATCAACGCCACTAAGTAGTTTCGTATTTTATAACGTCCAGAGGGAGGTAACTTTTTGTTTATATATTGTCTTTCTTTTTTCTCCTTTCCTCTCTCTTTCCTCTTTTGGCTACCAAATTTGAACGCTTTTAGCGTGACCTCAGCGACTTTTTTTTGGCAACTGCCTAACGTGGGCTATAGAAAACAGCAAACAGACTAAGCTAGAACTCAATTTGAGCACTCTTAAGCGCATTATTAGACAATTATGATGCGAAAGCCTTTTCAGCAGGGACTAATTTAAATTTATGGTATGCCAATGCACACTTCCAGTTTCAAGAGGAACTTGGCTGTATTAAAAGCTTAGGCAGAGTTCCAAATTCGAGTCACTCGAATTGCTGTCTCCATTCATGAATATTCAATTAGAGTGAGACAAAAAATATAGATTTTGAAAAACAAACCAGGCATAAAAGGCATTAATTATGGCATATTCAATTTGCATTTAATGCTTAGTTCGATGTCTTCCAAGTCAAAAGTCATGGAACATTATTTCGCTAAATAATAACGGTCTATATTTTAATCAGTGTTCTTTATAGGTGACACGTGAATTTCCATACGAATAATTTGATCGATTCCCGAAGTCATTTGAATGCTACATACACACAGAGAATATAGCTCTACTACTCTATGTAGTTTACACTCGAGTAAATTCTGTACTTTGTACTCTGTACTCTGTGTTCTGCATGCAGATCTGGGCTGGGCGGCAGTCGACTTGTCGATTCGTTCTTAGTGGGGTGTCATCATTTTCGTGAATTCCTCATAGCTGAGCAGGCCATCCTTATCCTCGTCACCCAAGCGTATGTAATTGTCGAGCTCCTCCTCCGTTGGCTTCCAGGACAACTGACTCATGACGTTGCCCACCTGATCGGCGCGAATGTAGCCGGTGTTCTCCTTGTCATAGATGCGAAAGGCTTCGCGTATATCGTCCTCATCCTGTGGGTACGTCAGTCGTAAGATCATCGCATCGGCAAATTCTTCAAACTCAATGAAGCCGTTACCACTCATATCCACTTGATTTACCAAATCTGTGAGTTCACTTTCTATCGGCGGCTCAAGGCCTAGAGAATAGAAAAACAGCGCCAACTCGCGCGTCTGAACCAAACCCTCTCCATCACGGTCCAGCAAAGAGAACGCATCCTTCAATACATCCCAATCTGCGTCCGAAAGCTCAGGCATGTCCAATAAATACTTTGCAAATTTCGTATAAAAAATTAAATACAAAATCTGAAAAATCAAAGAACTGGAAAATTTGTGTGTGTACTACTTGAATGAAACTTTAAAACTGCCATAAGTCATGTGCATACATATATAGACCGATTCTCCAGATCCCAGCGCCTACTTTGTCTTGCTTGAACTTGGACTCGAGGGAATTTCAGGTATTGGGTTTCTTTGCTGAAATTCGTGATGTGTTCTATATTGCTGGGAGTCCTCCCTTGTTTTTATTGGCAACATTTCGATAAATATTACCCATTGCTGGTATTCCTCTTTTGTTTTTTGATAACATCAGCGATATTCCCATACATTTATGGTAATTCTCAGATCTTTTTAGTAACATCAGCTTTACTCGCATACACTTGCTGAACTTTTGATGGCATTAACGATATTCCCACACATATTCGACATTCCCTCTCTCGTTTCTTTTTTATAACAGTAGCGATATTTTCATAAATATTATACAAAGATGTCAGTCCTCTCCTTCCATACATATGCTACACTTTCATCATCCTCTTCAGGTTTCTCAACTTTTCAGGGTAGTTCTCTGCCGCTCAGCTGCCGCTCAGCTCTCTCTGTCTCTCTCGAATGGGAATTTCTGTACTTTGTTCCTCTGACGACATTAACGATATTCCCGATATATATAAACATTATACATTTTGAATACTCCTTTCCTCTCGCTCCACGCTCCTCGAATGAAAATCGCAGCTCATTTACTCTGAATAGTGAAAGCAACACGTTTATTCTTTCTTTTTCATGAATTACCCAGAGAAGAGCACAGTTAATTTTGTTATCGCTTTTTGCTTTGCTAACATTGATGCTACCACTAGATGCCAGTGTCGGTGTAGTCCCAGGTATGTGGATCGATTTCGAAGCGCTTCAAGCGCTCATAATACTGGCCAAAGAAGAAGGCCTCCAGCTGATAGGTCTTGAACACCCGAAAGAAGCCCTCGGACGTATACTTGTTGTTCCACACCCAGATGCAGTGGTTGGGAAAGGAGTCAACTACCTGTGCCCGACCATTCTGATCCAGGTCGCATGGCATGTGCGTTGTGGGGAAGTCGAAGGGCAACGTGGGCTCTGTCTCTGCGCGTTTCCTGCGTACAATATGTCTTATCACGGTGCTGGACACGGGCTGCGGTGCGGACGAGGCTTCCGCCTCTTCAGTCTCATTGCTTCGTTTGGCAGCAATTGTGGTCGCATTCGCATGAGTCCCATTGGTCTTGGCAGCGTCATCCACTACGATTGAGCTGCTGGCCAGACTTCGGCACTGGCCACAGGGCAATCGGATCTGCAGTCGATACACGAATAAGACTAACTTGGGGAAGGACGATGACTATCGCAATGCGCTTACCAATGCAGCCAGTCCAATGAGAAGTATGGTTAGAACCAACTTCATGTTTTAACCGAAAGATTCTTGCCTTAAATAATACAAATATTTATCGGAATATGTATATTTTGTGTTTGAATAGTGATTTAACTAACAACAATAAACAGCGCACGGAAATTTAAGGAAAAATTGTATACTTTGACACACAAGTGGAAGGAAATGGAGGAGAAATTGAATAAACAGACAAAGCGAAACTTGCTTTGTTTGACAAGTTGCTCTATTTAAATAGGTGCATATGAACAACATTATTGAACAACGGTAATATCTTAATATTTGGTATATGTTAAACTTAATCATGGCAATTTGTATAAAATCTTAATTTTTCCCTGCTAGTCCCTTGGATAACTAATGGTTGAATTTAATTCTTTTTAATATTCTCTCTAATATTGATATATATTTTTATAACTCGCATATATGCCGCATTCGAGGCTCAGTATATTTCAATAGATAAGCAAATTCATTACCACGATATATTAATGTCTGTATTCCACTCTCCATTAGGCAGATAGCCAATAGTTAATAAATTATTATAAATTTTGTTGTGTTTTTCACATATTTATTTGCTGTAAATAAATACAGCTTTGATAGCATAAAGTAGAGATTAGTCTGAGTAAAGACAGCTGACAGTTGATCCTCTGTGAAAAAAATACTCAGAGAGTGACCAATTAAGTCGGCTTGACGTTTCGAGCTCGTTAGCGATTGCCCCGAAACCTTTTTTAACTACGAAGTCTCACTGATCGCCAATCGTATCTCTCTCGAAACGATGTTCGTTTAAAGAGCGTCATAAGAACCGAAGTCAGAGTGAGAGCGAATAAATATGACTTGTTCGATTGATGTGACGAGCAGAGCATAACGAATAAGATAGTCAAGAGTTATTGGCGAACTATGTATTTAATGTAATTTAAGACTAATGTGGTCAAAGAAGCCTACACTATATAACAATGTATACATATGTATATATAACTTAATAATAAAGCCAAATTGGCGATCATGGCAACAGCCTTAAACAATTTCCCAGCGACAACAAAATGGCGTCCTCTTGTGTTGGCCAAAATTAACAGTATTTCCATAAGCCAGCACACAAACACACACAAATATTCCTATATATTGATGAGCGAGTCATAACAACAACAACAACAATATACAGCATATTTTATGGCATATACGCAGCCAAGTGTCAGAAAAGCTTTTACAAAATTTTTACCACACACTTTTTCAAACTTGACTACACTCAGCCGCTCTCCCCCTCCCTCTCGCATTGAGTCTCTCTATCTCGCTTGCTCTCGCGCTTCTGCCTTTTATTAAAATGCATTTAAAACGCCTTTTTCAGTTTTTTTCTAGAATTTTTTTTGCAGTGTTTTTGTTTTGTCGCTGCGGCGGCTACTGTGAAAAGCTCATGCATTTCAGTTTTTTATACTGTTTACGCCATTTTAACTTTATTGTTGTTGTCGTTGTTGTTGTTGAACAACAATGTTGCAGCTGTATGGGTGGCTCTCTGTGTGTGTGTGTGTGTGTGTGTGGATAGACATGGCAAAAGTGAAATGGTTATCGCGCTTGTTTGATTTAATTTATTGGCTTAGCGCCATTGTGGCCTGATGTGCAACACTTTACACTCACAACACTTTTTGCCCCATCTCTGTGGAGTAGCACAGTGAGCGAAACAGAGAGAGGACGGGAGGGAGAGAGAAAGAGCGAGGCACATTGGCAACACTGGAGTCGCTTTTTGGGCGCTTCCAGTCAATCTACTCTCGTCCGCACGACTTTGTTGCATGTTGTTTGAATTTTTTCAGCTCGCAATTTCTTTTATATATAATTTTACTCTTTTTCTTCTTTTGCACTGATAAAATCGGCTGATTGCTGTGCTTGTCTTGCTCTGAGCACTTGCTCTCCCCCTCTCTCTCTCTCTCTCTTTCGCTTTTATATAAATTTTATAAAAATGCTGCCTCACTGTCCAGCAGGCAAATGTTTGACCACACACACACACATACTGACTGTGCCAACTAACGCAAAGGTGGCTTAAATTGAATTCCAGCTTAATTTATAAAAAGGAAACTTTAATAAACTAAAGAGATCCAAGATTGAGAAAATAATTGAATATACATACATAGATATATGGCAGATATAGCTTCTATATACGAACATATTTATTGTTCTTATATTACTATTTATTAATGCTTGACAATAATATATTTGTTTTAAATATATTTGCTATATATTGATGTATATATATTAATTAAATTATTGTTAACTAAATTTTATTTAATTTTTTTGTTAAAAAAGTATTTAATTATATTTATAATTATTATTTTTTTTTTATTATTTTACTGATTTCTTTAATATCATTTTTTAAAATTTTATTTTATATTTTATTTCTAATTTAATATTCTGATTTATTTTATTTATTTATTCATTTTTTAATGTATAGTTTATATAGCCATCTTGCACATTTTCTACCTTGTTATAATATTTTACATATCTTTTAATACTCTATTCGCTTACAAAAAATTTTTTGTTCTATTCTTTCAACCTAACCATGCGAAATTGTTTTTAAACGAAAAAAAATCAACAGAAAACACTTAACAAGTGCCTCATCGTTCCCTGACCCTTGGCATTTGGCAAAGCTTTCGCGCAAATTGTAATGCAGCATGTTAACAATTTATTTGTCTTTCACTTGCAACAAAAAAAACAAGCGAAAGAAATACACTATATATGATGATAAAAACTGAAATAAAATTGAACATGTAATCGAAAAAAAATTAAGTTAATTAAAGAAAACGAGTTTTTGCAATTGATAAGCAGAAGTTTGACTGTCAATAATAGAGTTATTCAGTATGCGTTTCAATGTAAAGGCAGACTTGCTAAATAAACCATAAACATAACTATGAAAAAACTGTGTAAAATATATATATTATATCACTCATCTAATATCATATTTAGATTGCATCTGATAAACATATGGATCAATGCTGTTAATTATATTAATGGCAGCCACGACAGCAGAGCTTGCCCGAACTAGTTCAATCAACAGGCGAACATATCATATATATAACAAATATTTATCATAATTTTGCTGTTGTTGTTGTTGCTGTCGATGTTGTTTTTTGTGCTTTCTTGATTTGAATGTTGAACGCACTTAGAGCCTTTTACGTGGCATAGCATATAAGGACGGCATTCATGTGGCTTGCCCGCAAAGTCAGATGTCACATACATTGAAGTTTGATTCGGCAGGCTGTAAACACCAAACAGTCGGCAAGTCACGCACACGAACACACGCATCAAAAAGTTGACAGAAGTACAGTGGAGTGGGGGAGTGGTGGAGTGGGGGAGGTGGAGGGAGCGAGAGGGGACTCATGTCAGCTATTTGCTTGCCCTTTTCTGACATTTGCTGCCAAAGTTGATATTATTAATTTACAGCGCGTAGCGAGCAGGGGAATGTCATACCCCAAAGATACCCTGCATACACCCAACCCAAACTGGGCTCGCTCTCCGCCACCCACACCACCCACCCGCCCGATTCTTCGCTCCACCGCAAAGTATGCCACACGCATTTTCCCTTGTCCCGGGCGACATTTATCGGCAAGTTTGTCAGCAGATCGAGTAGGCGGTGCGTGGGTGTATGTGTGTGCTCAGGACATACACACACACACACACAAACACACACACATATAGACACACACGCCATAATCATAAAATGATTTTATTGCGCTGGCAATTTCATTATTTCGGATTTTAATGTAATTTCTCCCAGTTGGATTTGAGGCAAGGATCTTAAATTTCACTTGACTGGGAATTGAGCAATTGGGCAATTGACTGGCCCCGTTTACTAATTAGACACACGGTCAACTATAAAGACAGATATACGCCACTTTCCAAGTATTTCATTAATTAATTTGCCAATTTCATTCGTACATCGTCCGCTCAAGTCTCCAACGTGTGCTCAACACAACTTTGCGTGCCGCAAGTGCCAAAGAAAAGAAAAAGCATATGAAAATAGGAAGCCTGAGAGCTGGGAGCAGGGCAGTTCAGATAAGTCCCCAGAGGTGTGAGAATAAAAAAAGAACATATAAAATAAAATAAATTGTTATGAAACCGAAAGAGTTGCCCCAACGAAGATTCAATGCACTAACTGCTAGCTGATGAGGTGAAAATGTTTATTAGTGTTTATTATTATTGTTTATTATTAGTATTATTTATTTTAATCAGCGAATTTGTTATTAAATATTAATTTTTTATTGTAT